TCCTTGTTTCTACACTCACTGTCCATTTTATCAGCTCCACTGACCATGTAGGGGCACTTTGTAATTCTACAGTTACTGTAGTCCATCTGTTTCTCTGCATACTTTGTTACCCTGTTCCTCAATGGTCAGGACCCCACAGGACCACCACAGAGCAGGTATTATTTGTGTGGTGCATCATTCTCAGCACTGCAGTGTCACTGACATGGTGGTGGTGTGTTAGTGTGTGTGAGTGGATCAGACACAGCAGTGCTGCTGGAGTTTTCAAACACTGGAGGGTCCACTTACTCTTCACTCTATTAGACACTCCAACCTTGTTGGTCCATCTTGTAGATGTAAAGTCAGAGATGATGCTCATCTGCTGCTGCACAGTTTGTGTTGGTCATCCTCTAGTCCTTCATCAGTGGTCCCAGGACGCTGTCGACAGGATGCTGTTGGCTGGATGCTTTTGGTTCTCAGTTCAGCAGCGTTGTTTAAAAACTAAAAGTGCTCGTATATGGTCAGTGGAGCTGATAACACGGACAGTGAGTGTAGAAACAAGGAGGTGTGTGTGTATATATACACATATATACACAAATATACATATATGCTGTTGTCAGAACAAAACCTTGTATCTCCAAAATGGTAACTTTACAGGAGAAGGAAAAAACCTACTTTACTTTTAATGTAAGTCAATGGAACCAGATTTTTTCCAAGTCATTTTGGGCCGTTTCTTTTGGTCCATTCTTCATGAAATTTACACATAATGTAAAGGGCAAAAGGCATTTTCAAATTATGCCGAAAAACTGAAAAACTCCAAAAATGGAGATACAAGGTTTTCTTCTGACAACTGCAATATATATATATATATATATATATACACGTCTTCTTAGAAAATAGTATGGCTCAGTCGTGGTGTAGTGGTTTACTGAGAGGCTGTAGACAGTTGGTTAGTTTATATTAAAGGGCCCATATTCTACATTTTTCTTTGCGTACACTTATAAAAATGTATTGGTTTTCATGACATCACAAAATGAATTTGAAACTTTTTTCCAGTTTAGTTTCCATATACGGACTGTACAGAGTGGAGCACGTTTTTTAAACTTCAGTGTTGTTTACATATGACATCAAACTACTATTTTAAGAAGAAAAGTCCAGTTCTTCATGATATGGGCCTTTAAAGGTTCATATGACGAAGAATTCACTGCATATTTTGACTGGTCTGATTTACTGCGCAGGGGAAGAGCGCCCTCTAGTGGTACATCACTAAACTGACAGTGTCCTGCTTTAACCTTTTACAAAACAGAAAAAATTATGTCTTGATTAAAAGGAAGAGCAGTGAGAGTTTCTTATTGAAATCTGCTTTGATGTCTGTGACACAGCAGACACAGGAAATCATGGCTGGAGAGGTAACTGGTGAACGGCACTTTCCAAGAATAGAGTTCAATTTACATCACATTACCTTTAAATGAGTGAAGGGATCTGTACTTCAACTTTAAATAAAATTAGCATTTAAATGATCACAAAAACACTTAAAATGTCTGTGTCCACCTATAATGTGGCGATTTTGGGCTGCCCCACCTCACTGACACAACACCTGTATGAAATATATTCATTAAATCTTCTACCAACACCATCACTACAATGTTATCTGGTTCCATTTAATGTTGAAAGAATTATTTTTCCCTAATAATTTTTTTCATTTAACAAAAGTCATTTTAACCCATGTCCCTCATTGTATGCACTGTCCTTTTACTCAAACCTGCTCCCCCTGTACAAAAAAGGAACATTCCATTTATTACATCACGTTTATCATGATATAAACAGGAATTGGGATCATCTTGGTGTTTTCTGCAGAAATGACCATCAGACAGGTCAGTATTCAAATTCAGTTTTCTCAATTTACATACAAAACACTGATCTGGCTGCAGTAAAGTCTGACTATTAAACTCTAATACCAAAACTTTTATTAGAAAAAAGTATATATATATATAATATATATATATATATATATATAAGTATATATATTTTTTTTTATTTATGTAAACTTTATGGTTATTAATAGTTAGCATGCAACACATGCACCCTGTCAAGGTAAGTTCACAAAAGTATCTTGAAGAAAATCTTCTTAAATGTGTTTTTTCTTAACTTTCTTTAACGTTCTTAAGAAAAAAGTTACAATAAATTGTTATTCGTCAAATAACTTCTTAAGAATAAGCTTATTCTTCTTTCTTAACTATTTTCTTAAGAATTTTCTTAATAATTCTAAGAATAAGTGTGTATTCTTGAAAATATTATGTTCTTAAACGTGTTCTTCATCTTCCGACAGACTCTCACTCGTCTCAGTGAGAATTGACGAGGTGAGAATCTTAATTTATCAAACTCACAGCTGCCACTGCCGCTCCCCATCCTCATCTCTCGCTTTCTGCCACAGTTATCGTCTTTTCCAATGTTTCCAATGTTTCTTGCTGTTTCTTCCACCATCACCTCTAGATCTTCTTTGCTAAAATTTGGTTTGATGTTTTTCCACCATTTTGCTTCTTGGATTAAACTAAATAACAGAAATGACAGTTAACACAAATCCAAAATGTATCTTGTGCTGTTCACGGTACGTGGTAAAATGCAATTTCTTCAAGAAAATCTTAAGGAAATAATTAAGATTATCTTTAGAGAATATTTGAGAACTTCTTACGTTTTTGTTTTTTTGAGAACTGCAGTTAGTAATATTCTTATGAACTTCTTAGTGTTTGTCTTAAGACCTTCACAAGTCTTTTCTTCAGTAAGCTTTCATGAATCCTGCCCTTGCGGTGTAGGTGAGGGGCCAGCACCACCCACTCGTGAAGCGTGGCGAGTTGAACAAAACAAGTGAGCTATCATCAACAAAGCACCACCGCAGAAAAGCTTCTGCTACTTCGTGAGCAATTTTATGATGCCATCAGTGCCGTTACTGATCAGTTACGATCTGACGCTGCGCTCAGTAATTCGCATATCTCACAGGAGAGTGACGCAGCTCAAAACCTCAAAGTTTTTCTCATTCATTTTGTGTAAGGAAGCAGCTAACATTGGCTTTCTACATTAAGAAGAGGTTTAAAAGTACCTAAATACATCTCTGTATCAGTGTTTCACAGTATATTTGGTTGTACACTTGTGCTTTATGTTCGATTAACATTACTGTAACTGAAGATTTAACAGTGTTCACCAGAGTAGAATTTAGCAGAGGGAGAAAAACATACATTATTTTTCATATAACATCACAGAAAACAGGACAAAAACCTTCAGTTTTGAAAATTTGTAACTACTAATATCTCACTAATGTATAATAACATCTACTGTTTCATGTGAGCTAAATGCTTTTTAAAGCTGAGTGTGTTAATAATGCAGTGTGTGCAATGTGTGAAATAACAATGTTATCTCACCTTTTGTCTTCAGCTGTTTGACACCCTAAACAAATCACTGGTTAAAAACCTGGTCACCCCATTAAAAATGAACTACACCCCTGTCCTGAGTGCTGCTTATTTCAGGATAAATTTGAAAACCTGTTACCCATTTTTAACCTTCAGTTATTTTGAATGAAAATAAAATGAAAATGGACTGAAACTAAGATTTGAATGAAAACATTCTTTCAACTCTCCCTTCTGCCCTCTGTTGTATACATTATATGTACTTTTACTGCATTAATATTAGCTTAACAGGGAATATGATCCCTGTTATTCAGTCATTTATGGTGAAAACAGCTCATATAGAGTCTGATTTGACAGTGTGGGGTGAAAAATAAGAGTTTCTGACACTTCCTTTGATTAATAATTTGTTAAAAACACCAAGGAAAAAGTCAATTTTTAAAGAGTTTCGAGGCATAAAATGAGCTCCATTCACAGAAAGAGCCAAATGTTATTTTCAATGTATATTAAATGAGCCTGTTAAAATATGACTTATGAGTTCTTCACACATCAAATATATGCACCTTACACACCTTAAAGAGCCCACGCCACATATTTTTCTAGTGTTTTATTCTTTTCCCCCACTTATGACCATCTACTTACCTCCTTTTATTCCTCAGAATGTTTTCGTTACTGTGTCTTTAGGACTGATCTATGTAAATGAGCTCTGTTCTGATTTACTGCCAAGTGTTGTGCCCCATTCAAAAAAGTCTCTTATAACTCCATTATGAACCAGCTCTACACTCACTGGCCATTTTATCGGAAATGCCTACTGTATATAGTGGTGTGCAAAAGTTTGTGCACCCCTGGTCAGATTCTATGTTGTTGTTGAGTTTCTGAGTGTGAATAAGTTACACATCCTCTACAGAGACACACTTCTGTACGCTTTAATACACAATTACTGTTCATTTGCTGAATTTAATACATTTTGGGGGGAAAAAAAATGTGGACTGTGCAAAAGTCACATCACATTTTATGTTTTATGTTTTTTATGTCTCAAACAAATAAATAAAAACTACACTATAAATAGACCGTAAAGGATGTGCTGACAGATTTTTGTCAGTTGACCGGGGTGCCCAAACTTTTGCAAATAACTTTGCATATTGCTGTTTTCGGAAGAAAACTTCATATCTCCATTTTTGACGTTTTTCAGTTTTTGACATGTCTGTTTGAAAATGCCTGTTGCCCTTTACATTGTACGTAAATTTTATGATTAATGGACTAAAAGAAACAGCCCAAAAATGACTTGGAAAAAAGTCTGTTTCCATTGACTTACATTAAAAGTAAAGTATGACGTTTCCTTCTCCTGTAAAGTTACCATTTTGGAGATACAAGGTTTTCTTCCGACAACAGCGATATAGAGTCTTATAGTGGGCTATGCAGTTTCTAATAAAGTGGCCAATAAGTGCCGGTACTGGATCCATAACAAAGTGTATATAAAGCTGCTATGCAATCATTGGAGTTTGTGGTACAAAGCTTGTTAGTGCAAGTTTTTAAATATACATACATACATACACACACACACACATATATATATATATATATATATATATATATATATGCCTATATATGTCTGTTTGTTCTCACCTCCAGCTCTCTCAGCCTCTCTAAGAGCTCTTTACTGCTCTCTGTCTCATCCTCCTCTTCCTCTTCCTCCTCCAAAAACTGGTCTCCATCGCCCTCTTCTGACTCAAAGGCCTCATCACAGTCTCTGGGCTCAGCTCCGTCAGACATCACCACCTGCGCAGTAGAGCAAAATTCACCTCCAGTCCATTTAACAGAACAAACAACTTGTTTACATAATCATTCAGCAACATGAGTTATGTACAGTTCTACCAGATATGTAATACATGATTAAAGGGACACTCCAGTGTTTTCCAACTTCATTTCCATCCGTCACCACAAACAAACTAGCTGACTCAAAACTTCAGTGTTTATTGTATCTCTTTAAATTTGCAGATGCTGATACTGTACACTCAAGCACATTAAGCCCCACGGTCACTTTCACTTTCATTTATGTCCCCAACCCAATTCAAACTCATGCCAGAAAATAAAAGCTTAAAAAAGGAATTGCCACTGAATTGTTTATATGGCTATGGTTACAGTCATCGTTCAGTCTGGATCACACACAGTTACCTGATCAGGTGGAGAAGTTCTGTAGCTTTTAACCCCATTTGAATATTTTTTCTTAGGTTACAATCAACTCACACAACATAATAATATTATTACATTTTACTGAATGAGCTAAATATGAAAATCCCTGGTTTGATTAACATTGTGTAATCACTGTAATCACTGTTCTTGCAACAAAAAAAATGAATGTACATTACATATAATTAAAGTCAGATCTACATACAGGATACACATTGTATTGGAATAACTTTGGCCCTTTGCTTTGAGCTGAGACTTGTTCCCACCTCCAGCTACAGATACAGAGAGAAGTTTTCCTTTAAGGACCGAAAGGACAGTTTTGCACAAGAAAGTGTTGGAGAGTCGACGCAGCATTATGACCTGTCACGACGATCGTAAACAATAGAGCACATTAAAGACCTGCACTTTCCTTCAGAACGCATAATGTCAAGGTCAGCGTGGAGCGCTCACTAAGCTGAATTAATAAATTACACTATCAGCAGTGAATGTCACGCAATGGCCCCTCCCACCCGGAGCACCAGGTCCATTAAAGTCCATTAATAGATGACGAGAGAATGGCCTTCAGTGAGGAGCGGCCCAGCGCCGGCCTCTCCCGACCCGCCGACAGCGCTCTGCAGATAAAAATAGAGCTGTGGTGTCTTTTTCTCGCCACAGCCTCTTTTTTTTCAGTCCTCTCTTTCTTACTCTCCTCTTTTTTCCTGGAACACAGGCCAGCGCTGCGGGCAGTAAAATTGCTATATCACATCCAGCTGACAGCTCTGAGACCCGGACAATAAACCAAAAGCACATGCTGCTCATCCCTCCTTTCATTTCTCTCTCAGTCCTCTTTAAGGCTCGAAAGCTCTGTGACAACCCTGATGATCGCATAAATAAATAAATACAATTTTAAAGCAGATTCAGTAATGATTATGCAGTATTTCTAAATACTGATGTTCAACGGGGAATTCCACTGATTTTCAAAATTCATGCATAATTCAGTCATTAAGATGTAAACAAAATGTAAATAAATTTCAGTGGTGGCGATGCAGACTTCTTTAGAGGTTCTTTAGTAAAGTAAATGGAACCATATACAACACATTCTCCATCAAAATAGAACCATAAACAACACATTCTGCATCAATCTAAAGAACTACTTCTCCATGCAAAGAACTATTTATGCATGAAAATGGCATTTTGAGTGTTCGTGACTCTATATAGAACCATGAACAGTCTTTAGTTATGTCTTTATTTGTCTTTGCTTAGGAATCCTTACTTAAGAACTTGTGAAGAACCATCTTTTATAAAAGTATAGGAATGCACCAAAACTGAAAAATTTCTGCCAAAACAGTCAAAAGTGGCTCTTTTGGTTTTCAGCCAAAAGAGAAAACAGTTTGTAACCCATCCGTCCAGTAAAACACACAAATACTCACTAGTAAATGCACACACACTAGGAGGCAGTGAGTACTTGTGGGCAGCCCTAACCATGGCACTGGGGGGAGCAGTTGGGGGTTAGGTGCCCATGACTGCCCCCATCCATGCATACAAAAATAGCTGTTTATCAGTGATCTTTTAATTTACCTGTTTTGTTTCAAATAACTTTCCTTAAGGCATAAATAAATACCAAAAGCAATTCATAGAATTTCTGCGATATATTGTCGCTGTCCAAAAAAAGCATGTATCTCAATTTTTTCAACGGATTTGTCTACATCATTTGATTGTACTCTATATTGTGTGAGAATTTCATGATAAATGACCAATAGAAACACTCCACAATCATTTGGAATAAAATCTATTACATTAACTTACATTAAACATTTAAAAAGTTTTGCCTTCTTCTGTAAAGTTACCATTCTGGAGATAATTCTTTGTAGACAGCAACAAGGCTAATTAGCTAAATAAATAATAAATAAATGCATAAATACACACATATATACATAAATAAAGGTAGTATCTGTAATAATAATAAAAATGCATTTTTTTATTTGATTATCAAAATGAAGCAAGCCTACCTTTTCTCATTCTTATAGAATATTCCAATAATTTACATAATATTAGTTAGAATACTGGAAACTGAAAATGTTCAACAGTTGCGGCATCAAATCGTGGTGATGGTCGTTTCTGAAACAAGCTGAGATCACACGGCAGGTTTCAGTTTTGTTTTTGTTTTTTTTAACAGAAAACTGTGCTACAGGTTTGGTCCAAAAACACTTCTCTGTTTAAGAACCTTAAAATGACCATCACAAATTCGGTGTCCTGGTCAGAGCTGAAGGACGCCCCTTTGTCCACCTAAATGGGAGGAATCACTAAGAACGCTGTTTGACAGGACAGAGAGTGAGGACAGATTACCTTAATCCCATTAAAAGGAGACACATAAGGACATGTGAGGTCAGATCAGCAGATTTGCAGGAGGTCACGATGACCTTCTCTGATCTCCAATATTATCTTTAACCCCTTAAGTGGTCAGGGCCCACCGGCGATGTTTTATTTCACAATTTTATAATCTAAGAACGGCTCAGCCAGTTGTACTGAAGTCCCTGTAGTTACTGAATAATAAGCCTTAGTATGTAATAATTCTTTAACTCTATTCGGAAAGGATGAGTTTAACATGAGGAGGTGGGTAACGTAATTATTCCCGGAGTTTCTCAGCGATTTTAGTTCCGTCCAAATGCGCCATTTCAGTCATTTTTACCGACTGCACTCTTCTGCTTCAGTCAGGATTCTGGCACCGTTTACCTTCTATAATAAACAATGCCAGGTTATATTAATCCTGTCCAAATCGACATCTCAGTAAAAATGCTATCAAATTCTGTGGAAAAGAAGTTTCTTAAGTTTGGAGGCTTGAAGAAGCGCTTATTTACGGCTTCCTACGTGAATTTTCCCGTTCCACCTTAAATGGTGCAGCAGTTAATATTATAACGCTCAGGTGGCAGAATGTAACTGCTGCTCCATTTAAGGTGGAACATAAAAACTTGAACAAGAAGCAGGTGAATAAGAAGCCACTTCAGCCTCATTGTTCTCTGAAGCTAAAATCAGGCCAATGTGTAACGTTACTGACGGTTTGTCGTGAGTTCCCAGCTAATGGTGATGCTAATAACGCTCCTCATTCACTTAAAACAGAAAGGTAAATTGTTAGGATAAATGAAATGATGTCTAAATTGAATTTTTTAACATCTTTTCTACTCTTTTGTGAAGGTGGTGTGTAAATTGAGTGTAAATTTAGACATGTAATATGTAGAATAATCTAACAACAGTAGCAGTCTCATAATAAATATTAAAATATTAGAAATGTTGACTTGATTTAAGATGCGTTGACTTGCAAAATTCATATATTTGCAAACTTCCAACTTACCTTGGAAGCCAGTTCTCCACAGCACGAAAGCTCTGAGCTCAGCAATGCTGCCTCTCCGCCGCCTCGTCCTCCAAAACGTCTCTAAAACACACACAAAAAAGAAATATATCAGACTCAGTCGGCTGTTTGTAGCTTACCCTGCACAACAAATGAACTGAAATACAGCGCAGTCAAAAAGTTTGGAATTATTGCTATAATATATATTAAATTAATATTACATTAAAATATAATAACACCAATTTTGTTGCAGAATTATGCATAAAATGACTAAGATGATACTGGTAGTGCACAACTTTTCAAGTTTAAATTATATATAGAAAGCTGGAAATAAATATCAAGAAATGAACTGCGCTGTAGAAGATTCCAAAGTGACAGAGAAAGCTGTAGAACACAGAGAACGACAAAATTAATATCCAGAACGCCTCGTGTTTGAAAATTAGTGATCAAATCTGAAGGCAGATCATTTGACTAAAAAGTTACAGGTAATTACAGCATATAATTTTTCATTAAACAACTTTTTGGTGCTCCCAAAAACTTCTTTAAGAACCTTCTGCTGTTTATAATATTTCAGTTTACACTGTCTTACATTATTATTGAATAAAATAACAAAAATTATTAATTTGTCAAGTTATTTCAAAGTTTGAAGTGTAAATGTTTTGCCCAAACTGAAGATGCTATAATGACTAGGTCAAATGATTTAAATAATTAATCACAATTAATTGCATTCTTTAATTCAGTCGCTCACAATTATTTGCATTTGTCTTATTTGCACAAATTTAATCTTGAAGAAAGATTGATTTCCATTTATGAAGCAGTGCACTGTGCAAAATGAGCTTCATTTTTAAAAGTATTTATTACTTTCAATAACAACTTTATTTTGAACGTAGAACCAGCACATGAAAATCATACATAATCAAATAATCGGTTCATTATGGCTTTGATTAACTGAGAAAAGAAAATGAGTGTCCAGAAATGCGTCAATAAGTAGATATTTCATGTCATACACAACACCATCCTCAACAAATTAAATATACAAGCATCATTCCGCCTTTTGCACTATGCTGCTCTAAACAAAACACCATCATCTGTTTGCACTGTTTACAATTTACACGCTCTATATTGTTTACACAGTTTACTCTGTTTACTCCACTTTACAGTTAATACGGTTTACATTGTTATAGTTTACACTGTTTGCAGTTTTTTACTTCATTTACACAGCTTACATTGTTTATACAGTGCACACTGTTTACACTCTCTATACAGTTTACACTGTTTACATTTTTATAGTTTACGCTGATTACATTGTTCATTACATTGTTTACATTTTTACAGGTTACACTGTTTATGTTCTTTACTCTGTTTACTCTTTTATGCTGTTGAATCTGTTTATGCTGTTTCCTCCTGGAGATCTTCTTTCCTGCAGAGTTTAGTTTCCACCTGCATTTAAATGCCCCCTCACCTTATCAAACACTAAAGCATCTGATCCAGCCAATCAGACACTGAAGAAGAGGCTGATTATCTGGAGCAGATGTGTCAGATTGTGGTAAGAACTCTACTCTGCATGAAGGTAGATCTCCAGGATCAGGGCTTACAACTTACAACACCATTAACTCTGCATATTACTCATGCAGCTTATTCTTTTATAAGGTTTACTTTGTTTACTGTTCACACTGTTTACTCTTTTACACTCTTTCCTCTGTTTGCACTGTTTATACAGTTTATGCTGTTTGCACTGTTTACTCTGTTTACACCGTTTACACAGTTTTCACTGTTTATTCTATGTTTACACTATTTACTCTTGTTTATTCTGTGCATGCTCTTTACTATGTTTACACCATTTACTATGTTTATACTGCTTGCACTGCTTACTCTGGTGTTTACTGTGTTTACTCTGCTGCTCACATGTCTCTCCACTTCTTCACAGCAGGTGAGTGCGAGCTGTGGGGCTCTAATGAAGATGCGTGAAGCTGCATGATTGGAGCTTTGATCAGCTCTGGATGAGGCGTGCGGGTGTTGGCTGTGAGGAACGTGCACTATTAATGCTTAAGGAATGTTCTCGCTCGCAAATATCACCAAATAAGGCAGCTGACTGAGGGAAAGGGTGACGCTGATGGAATTTATTGTTAGGTGATATTTACAAGCACGATACTCTTATAGGATTCCTAACAAAGAGCAAACAGCTGTAAGTCTTACAGAGAGAGATCAGAACTACAGACCGAAGCCTCTTCTACAGCGTCTGTAAGAAAACTGCTAACAATAGAAATTTAGCACACTGAGACAGCATAAATATGAGCACTTATGGAACATGAGTTATTACTGCCATTTTGCTACAGAATTTAATCATGAAATTATTTCATTACATTGTTGTAATTAAATAATTTCATTTGTTTATCATATATTATTTATTTGTTATTTAACAAACCAAACAAAAATCTATGAATTTTCGGTTTTCTTAGATAATCAGCCGTTATTGTTCCACCTTTAAGGGTTAATATTCATTGACCTGCTGAATTTGCTCTCATACAAAGTCGGTGCTGTGAGACTCGATGAGCTGCAGCTGCTTTAGCTTCTCTTCTGAATATTTACTGTAATTTTCATGCTGTGTTTCACGTCTGATATTAAATTGATCACAGTCTTTTTAAATATGAGGCTCATTTGCTGCGGCTCTCGATGAAACAGTTCAAATTACCATCAAAAACTGCAATTCTCAGTGTTAGTTTGAGCTTTATGGCTGCAGACTGGACTAAATGTGGTACAGTAAATGAAGCTGCAAGTAAAGTCAGAGAGGAAAGAGTCTTAAACTTTAGCTAACTTCATCACCGCAGTGCAGCGTGTCACACTGCAATTTTACAGCACTGCTGCCACCATCAGGTGAGAGGAAGAACCACAGCATACTGGCTGGCGGAACACTTATATCACGCACTAAAACAGAAGACACGGGCTGATTAAAATTTGTCTTGGCCGTATTTGGCCCTGGGGCTGGACTTTGGACACCCCTTTGCATGTGTGAGTGGGTTTATGTAATACTGGTGGGCATAGTGGCTCTTCAGCGAGTCAGATCAATCGGCTCAGCTCACCAACAAGAGTCAATTCTTTCTGCTCCCATTTGGCTCTTCATTACATAGCATTATCTGTTTTTTATTAGCCAAGTTAACAACATTATCATATTGTTTTTTAATAAAATCTGCATCTACTTTCTAATTAATAAAAACTGTGTTACTTTTGTGGTTGAAACAACAAAGTTAGATGTTGATAAGCAGTTTCAGTGGGTGAATTTCGAAAGGCAGGACTCACAAAAGAAGCAGACGAGCAAAATCCAGGCGAAAAGCATTGAAAAAGGCAGGTCAACGTCAAAAATCAGAATAACTAGCGAGGCACACTTGGAAACACGGACAAGAACTAACACGAAAGCAGGTGTTGGGGATAATAAGGGGCCGGAGCTATTTGTTTTGTCTCTATTAACGACTCCTCAATGCCGTCAGCTTCCAATGTTTAGACACATCACTATTGCGTACAAAAAGAAAAATATGACAATTCATTTTTACATGACAATTTTCCTACCAGTAGAATCAAACAGTATTTTTGTTACTGTGCCTTTAAGACTAATATATGCAAATGAGCTCTGTTTCTCACTCACAAATCAGCCCGGGCTGAAATACTCCTTACAACTTCAGCGTGAATGGGCGGAGCTAAACTGTCAGAGGCTGAACAAGTGGATATATGCAAATATGCTAGTTTTTGTGACATCACAAAAACAATCAGTGGGAGCTCGTAAGACCTGGTAATTCATTTTTATCCTCTGTGGGGGACATGAGTCCCCAAAGAATATTTCAAAAACCATATTAGCTGTAGTGCTGAAACATGTAGAGCACATCCTGGCCTTTTCAATGATATATCATCAGGAGTTCTGTTTTTTCAAAATGTCTGCCATCTCAGCAGCCACATTTTATGGAAGAAAGAGAGGTAAACAGTTGCATTTATGATGTTTCTAAAGCTTATAGTTGATATGTTTTACATAGAAAGATGTTTTCAAAGCACTTTTTTACTGATTACTTGCTGAAACAAGAAATATTACATAAAACATACAAACATTACATAAAAATAGATAAAAAGCCAATAGACATATTTTATCTAAAAATACTATAATTTTCTTTCATTTATCTGGGTCTCTGGAGGATGTATGGGCCGCAAAATCAGGGTACAATTAAAAACTAACAATGTTCACATAGTAATTTTAAAAATTACTCAGTTTTCCGTGATTTGGGCCCTTTAAGAACAAATCACTTTTGAAGTCTGTGTGATGCGCTCTGTCCTTATCTGTCCGTTTCACATCTATTCACTTTTCCTTCTGTGCCTCACTCCGTTCACCCCCCACCCCACCCTTGAGGGGGACGTGGTTAATCCTGTTATGTTTTGTCACCCCCCCTTCACAGCAGCAGTGAGGAGCATCTGCTTCTCCCGGCTGGAATCCTCCCTAAACAGGCCCACCAGGTGGACACTGTGTCTCTCTCACCCCAGAAGAACAGGTGCTCAGTAAGGGGCTGAAATGTACACAGTATACAGTATGCTGCTAATGATCTACAAGAGGGGGAATACCCTGTATGGGGCGATAGAGCAGTATGTTTAACCGCTGTACTGGCCTGCACAGTTTATCGTCTGTATTGCAAAATCAGCCTTTACAGTTAGGGATGCATTAATACCATCATTTTCAGATGTAACTAGAAGAAGGAGTACGTATTTTTTAGTACTGGCCGATACAGAGCCTGACACCACACTGAGTAACCTGATTAGAATGAAGTAGTTGTGAGTGTAAATGAGTGTAATGTACCCTAACAGTTAAATCATTAAATCTAGCTGATTTTAAATAAAGCGTGTTAGCCAGCTATGCTACGTTAGTCATCTTGGATCGAGTAGCGCTGCAGTGGAGAAGAGCGGGTTTTGTTCCCACTCAGAAAAGCTCTTCTGTACAGCTGTAAGTAAAGTAGGTTTCATAGTTTTGATCCTCATCTGTCTCTTTCAGCAGCAGCACAGTGACGGCAGGAACCACATCCAAGGCTAACGCATGCGAGGAGCTCACGCAT